ACTTCTAACAATTTACCCAACCCATCTTCCCTCAGCTTCTCAAGAGCTAAAAGATATTCAATTATTTTATTATTTCATGAAAATGTTAGGTTCCAGTTTGGGAAACCAAAGGTTTGTTTGTTTTTTCCAATTTTTTCTTTTAAAGATATGGGTTAGGTATATGAATGTTCATTATGCAGGTACCCTTGTTGATGAGGTGTGCACCTTCCCTCCCTTGGCAGTTTCCCACTACTACCAATCCTCAAAGGTGTTTTTTTTAAATAGGTGATTAAAAAATTGTTTTAGGATCTGTCCTGTTGGAGCTATATCATCAATTGTCAAAATAAACAAAATGGGATACCTGCCTTCAAGGAACTCAAGTTCTAGCAGGGGAGATAGACATATAATTTTAGTAGTGATAATGGAATCTTACAGTAATTTTCCCTACTTACTCAACTCACTGAGTTTTGGCCAGTAGAACCTTCTATTTAGGGTTTTGGCTTTCCAGGACCCACCTCAATTCACGGAAGCATAGTGCTGTAGATTTACTGCTGCAGAGAATTTCCAGCTTCTTCTGCCCTACATGTTTATACCCGACTGCATGTTTGACCACAGCATATCTGTAGGGGAATTTAAACTAGGAAATCAGGACCAGAGAAGCTTTAGCTTTATGGCCTTTGAGTAGTAGTCTCTGGGTTTCCATCAGCCACCTCTGGGTGTTTGCTTTTGCGCCCACTAAGGACCAGGAGGAAGAGCCAGTTTCTAGTGGGAAAAGAGAGACCAGAGCACAAAGCTTCAGAAGGGCTCTGATGAGGGTAAGTGCAGCGCCAAGGCCTTCTCACCAGCTTAAAACATAGCGTGTACCCATGCAAGATGAATTCTGTCTTCACTGGATGACAGTGAATTCTATTAGCCTGGCTGATGAATTCTATCAGCCTGGCTGATAACCTGAGAGTTTTTCCTATAAAATGTCAAGACAGAGTTCCTCACTAGCTCCTAGAGAGATTTCCAGATTTAATTTTAGAGGGTAAAAAGAACGCTGCCAGAATTCTCAGAAGTGAGAATTATGCTTAGAAACTCAAATGCCAGAACTAGACACTATGATGATCATTCTGTTTCATACTAACTTGGCTCTTTCAAGATGCTGTATTTTGGTGTAAATATAGTACATATTTAATCTTTTTTTTAAATGACCCTCCAAGACTCTTCTGTTCGTTTCTCCCTTGATCCTCACAGTAAAACATCTTTGCTGTAAAGTCAAACTTAGACTCATAAGTACACCACATCTACCTGTGTGTGACTTGCAGAATTGGGTCACTAAAGAGGAAGAAAACACATTCCAAAAACAAGACTTGAATTGAGAAGAAAGTTGAATTTGAGAGTAGAAATAGAACATCAACCTTTCCCACACCATTGATGCTTTTGACCATGAGTGACAGGCTGACAAGTCAGCTATACTTTAAAGCTTTTAATAAGCAGACTTGTTAGGAAAAAAAATTGGAAAGTTGGGGGGGCGGGGGAACGGAAGAAAAAACCATCCACAATGCTGCTATCCTAAGATATAATCACTGTTTATTAACATTTCAGTTAATAAACTCCTTCCAGTTTCTTTTCTTTACATAGTTGAGGTCATAGCTTGCTTCTTACCCTTAACATTTGACAGGAGATAAATAAGCCTTTTTTACATTATTATTTTGAGGTTTGGGGGGGTTTTGCCAAACAAAACAGAAAATGGAATATCTTTAAAGATGTCTTCACCCCAGTGACTTAATCTACATGACTACAGCTTATATAATTTTAAGTCCTCAGAATACCACTGAGCAGGCCCTTGTGCCCAAACAGAAGCATCACCACCTTACAATGTAATGACTTTTTCCCCCTCATATCTGGTGAGCCATGGTAGAAAGGCTGCACCAGAGGTAGACACACAAGAAAGAGCCCAGGGTGGCAGATTGCTGGCAGAGAGCCATAGCCCCTCCTGGTGGTCTTTCATGCTGTGTGTCCCTCCTGATGGCCACCTCCAAGTTGTCTTAAATCTTTGTCTTTCTGAGGGCCTAGTTGTGCCTGAATCTGATTTCCTTCTAAAACCCCAGATAAAAGAACTATTGGACTTGAACCTATAAGCCTCAGGCAGATTTAAGGAAGTGGAAAGGTCAGATACACAGACAGGTTCATAATGATTTCAGATGGAGGACACCAAAGGGAAAAAGAAAAGTTTTGTCTTTGCTTCTAAAAATATGATATCACCCCCTGGAGTTCAGGGGTCGTATGCTTTATGGCTCTGAATTGCAGTGATCCAGCCATCACATTTAAAGATGAAGCATTCAGTTTAATCAATGTTTATTGAAAGTACTTTTTCAATTTGTTGAAAAAATAATCAACTAGATTTTATAGGGAAAGAATTGATTAATAGATGATTTTTGCCCTTCTACGTACTTTTACTCTAACAGAGGAAATAAGATGTATATACAAGTTGTGATAGTATAGGCAAAAGTTTCATGAAAGAAATAGAGATGCGGAAAAAATATGGGTTGATTCTGTCTTGCAGAGATAGGTAAGACAATTTAAAGAGTTGGCACAGCACAAAGAAGTTTAAGGCACAATTAGGAGATGGTGAGCAACCTGCTTTTAGTTTTGTTATTTCTTTCGTAAATAGCTCTGGAAAAGATGCAGATAGATGTGCAGAGGAGAATTAAAATTGTCTGGAATTCTGTTATACAGAGAAAAGGTCTGTGAATGTTGGTTGTATTTTCTAGTCACATTTCTGTGCATACAGTGGATTAGGCTAGAGCAGGTTGGCTGCGGTGGTTCAACTGTGCTTGGCTTTGGAGAGGTGTGGCTGACATTTTAACTCTGCACTCAAATTCCTGGCATAGTGCACATGCTCTTAACAGTCACTGACAAATGCCCACGTTCCTTTGATAACTTCAAGGCAGCAAATCTCTGTAAATCAGGCTCTGTGCTTGTAGATGCTTGACGCCCTGAGCTGAATTCAGGGCTGGATCCAAGTGCAGCATGTGTGACTCCTAGAGAGATCATCTCTAGTTCATTTCCTGTTCATGAGCCAACTAACTGCTGTTGGATGCATGCTCTATAACACAGTGAATACTTCTTGACTTGGATCACTACTTTTTGTGGAAACTTTCCCATTCTCAGATTTAATGATTATTTTAAAATTCATATGGTACAGTTAAGAATAAAGTAAGTGGCCGGGCTCGATGGCTCACCCTATAATCCCAGCACTTTGGGAAGCCGAGGTGAGAGGATTGGCTTAGCCCACGGGTTTGAGACCCATCTGGGTAACTTGGCGAGACCTTGTCTCTACAATAAATCAAAAATTAGCTGGTTGTGATAGCGCGCACCTGTAGTTCCAGCTACTTGGAAGGCCGAGGTGGAAGGATCGTCGGAGCCCAGCAGGTCGAGGCTGCAGTGGCCAGGAGCGTGCCACTGCCCTCCAGCCTGGGTGATAGAATGAGACTCTAACTCAAAAAAAAAATAGGAATAAAGTAAAAATTATCTAAAATCATGCCGTCCAGAAGGAAAATATGTTGGTGAATGTTTTCCCAGCCTTTTTTTCTGTACATGGATATTTTTTTCTTCCTACTCCAAAAATTATGGTCATTGTTCTGCATCTGTAAATATATATTAAATATATAAGTAATATACATCAGCAATAGACTAAATAAATATCAGTAATTTACGTTTTGATACAAACTGCTACAATGCACCTCAGCTGTCTACTCTCCTTCCAGAAGTTACACCATAGGTAAGGACAGTCAGTCTAATTTGGGGGCAAGTTTTACTGAAGTGTAACAGAAAAGTGCGCAAATCATGTGTACTTTTAAGAAGTAAACACACTTGAAAATCCACCATTCAGATTAAGAAACAGAACATTACTGGTACCCCAAGAATCCACTCTCATGTCCCTTCAGTCACTGATTCCCTGGAGATAACCACTATCACCTTCTCAAGGCTTACCTGTCTAATTTGTAATCTTTACTAATCTGATAGGTTAAAAAAAGAAAGAAAAGTCTTGTTTTGTGTCTGGTTACTTTCTGAAGTTACCACTTTGATTATTTATAAAATTCATTGTGGAGGTTTAATCTCTGTGAGATAAATAAATGGCATCTGTTTAAGGTTGTAGAATGTGAAATAACTCACCATAGTTGGAAAGAAGCAAGGACTCTACAGCATGACCTTCGTGATATATTATTTTCTCAGTGAAAATTTGAGTTCCTTTGGGACAGGCACTGTGATTTAAAAATAAAAAGCATCTGACTTTTGTTTGAATTGGCAAATTTGCTGGAAAGATCAATACCTTCTGCTGCTGGAGAGTGTATTCCATTTAAAACTTGAGTAAGGGGATGTGGCTGACCTCTGCTGGAAGCTTCTGGTATGGTTTGGAGGAAGGAGCTCTCTTTCCTGGTGGCTGCTGGCCTTTCTTTCAGTTCAAACCTGCCCGCCTCTAGCTTTTCCTTGCAACTTCTCTTTTCTTTTTTCTTTTGCTATTTTCTGCTATGATAGCAAATTTTGCCTAACAAAATGTGACGTTTTCTGTGTGGCAAGGCCTTTATAAACACTCTAGCAGCTAACTATTGAAATATGCAAAAAAACAATTTGCCAGGTTGTATCTCATATACAAATACAGTCATACGCCACATAACAATATTCCAGTCAGCAACAGAGCACAGACGGTGGTCCCATCAGATTATAATGCCGTATTTCTACTCTCTAGATACACAAATGCCTATCATTGTGTTGCAGTGTTTAGTACAGTAACATACTACATGGGTTTGTCTCCTGGAGCAACAGGCTATCCCATATAGCCTAGGTGTGCAGTAGGCTAGACCATCTAGGTTTGTGCAGTGTACTCCATGATACTCACACAGGACAAAGCCACCTAAGGACTATCATTTCTCATAACATATCCCCGTTGTTAAGTGACACATGACTGCAAAGAGATTCAGTCCTGGAACTTAACACAGAGTGAGAGGGAGTAACTGGCTTCTGTTTCTCTCCAGGAATCGACAAGGAGAACGTTGAACTCTCCCCTACCACTGGCCACTGTAACAGTGGACGAACTCGCCACGGATCCGCAAGCCAAGTGCAGAAGCAAAGAAGTGCTGGCAGTTTCAAACGTAATAGCATTAAGAAGATCGTGTGAAGCTTGCTTTCTTTCTTTTTTAAACCAACTTGACATGGGCTCTTCACTAGTGACCCCTCCCTAGCCTTGCCCCATCCCCACATGTTGTGATGCTGCACTTCTGTTTTATAATGAACCTATCCGGTCTGCCATGTTGCCAGATGATCAAGTCTTGGAAGCATTGCCTAAATTTAATGCTGCTTTTTCTTTAGCTTTTTCCTTCTACTTTTGGCATATATCTGATGTAAACAAGTGTTCAGAACAACCGCGGAGAGAGTGGGAGGTCAGAAAACTTGAACTGAGAACATCCCAATTGTGAGAGAAGATGAATTCTTAAGTACCGCTGCCACTGGCCAGCTATGAAAGCCATTCACACAGAGCTCTGCCTTCTGTGGTTTCCCCTTCTCCATCATACAAAGTAAAGTGTTCGTCTAATTTACAGTTTTCAAGATAGAAGCTTATGGGAGAAATAATATATAACCCCAGTATGTTTAATCTGACTTTTAGCTGTGAACTTTTTTTTCAATCTTAGAAAACTGAAGGAATCCTAGAGGTCAAACCTCAGTGACTTCACATCATAAAACCACAGGCGAGGTACTTTGGGGGAGGGGATTTAGTATTTTGTAGTGGATTCTTAAAATACTAACACTTGAGTATTAGCAATAATTTCAGGAAAATAAGCGTGACCACATATATCTTAACATTAGCGAACTAAAGCTATGGGTTCTGAGGCCTTATCCAAACTCAGTCATCCAAACGAGGTTATTTTTTTCCCCTGTTGATTATCTTTTAATCTTTAAATATGCTAAAGGTTGTTTTAGTTTGTTTTGTAAGCCAAAACTATACTAAGTATAGTAATTATACATTTTTCCCTCCTCCCCTTCTTTCCTAAATAATTCTGAGCAGGGTAATCAGTGAACAAAGTATTGACAATTGTTCCCAGAAGGTAATTTTCATAGATGTTTGCATTAGCTCCATAGCAAAATGGAATGGTACGTGACATTTAGAGGAGCTAACACTTTTATTTTGTTAAATAAGTTTCCAAGAAACCTAGAGTATGATGTATATTATTATAAATTTTTTTGATGAGATGTACTTTAAATGTCTTTTCATCTTCTCCCTCCCCTCCAAAAAATCAGGAATCTCATTAGCAAAACACTTGGGTTCTGTCTGCTAGAACTGCACAGAATCACTGTGAGCATACTGGTCAGCTTGCATCAGTGTGACCATGGGACCCTGAGAGTCACTGCTGCCCTGACAGCGTGGACTGTCATGGTGCTGGAATTTCTGCGGTCATGCAGATCCAGTTTCTTCACGGTCCCTGCAGTGTGCATAGTGATTGGACTTCAGTGAGCATATCAGGATCTGGAGGTTCCAGTCGAGAACTAAACCACATTTATTACAAAGATATTATCCCCACACTCCCAGGTTTCCTCTATGTTAAGACGCAGTGGCTTTTGGGGGTTGGGGGAAGACACCCAGGGAGAGGAGGGGAGATCCTGTAGTGCTATTTCATAAGTGGATTTCAGTCAATTAAACTCCACAGCTAACTCAGTAAATCATGGTACATTTAAGTGTTCTGATTTTAATAATATACCACATTTCACATTATCCACACAGTAACAATGTAATATGTTAATGTAAATAAAACTGCTTTTGATATTCAGAAATAACAAGAATTTAATTTTTTTAATTTGTTTACAGTCCTGGGAAAAAGTAAGACTCATTTGCCAAAATAAAAGGAAAAAACTTAGTATTAAGAGTGAGTTTAACATAGAATTGTTGGAAAATATTGAAGACAGGTGCAATTAACTTTTGTTTTTGACTATTGTAGAAGCTGCTTTGGAAGAAAACGTTTCTAATAACAGAGCAGCTAAGACTGTAAAGACGCTAACAATAGAGCTGAGTTTAGAACGAGGTCAGCTTGCCAAGGGTGCCAAGCTGCTGCCTGGTCCTGGCTCCCACAGCCCAGGGCTTCTGGGGCAGAGGTCGGCTTCTTGGCCCTGGAAGAGCAGGCAATGTGTGCTTTTAATCATTTTGTTCGATGTTTTCCTCTATTTCTTTGTCGGTTTAGTGCATACGATGGTGGGTGTTGCGCTATTTTGCTTCTCCCATCAAAATAGAGAAATTTCTAAAGGTTTACTTTAAAAAATATTGCTCTTTCCATAAACAAGTTCACAAGGTATGGTATTTCATACCTCATAAAATTGATCGATCAGTGTTGCACAAATCAAAATTCAGCCTTCTTTTAACTGCAAAAATACTTTTGACCAGTATATTCTGGAAAGTTGAAATCTTACTAAGGTTTTAACTTTACCTTGTTTAAAGAACTTCTGGCTTTTGAGGAAAATCTAGCTTTCCAAGTAACTGAGATGTACAGGAGATAAATCTCTCACCATTGTGTTCCCTGAGAAATGAAACACTTTTTTTAGTCTACATGCCTGTAATCTACAAAAGAAATTCTGAAGTCAGAGCAAGTTGCCCCTTTTGCATTTGCATAATTTGTCGTCAGTTCTGTGAAGAACGTGACAAGTGATTTGTTACAAGTAATTTGTTTTGGGTTGAGGACGCTTCCCCTGACCTTTCAAAAAGGAAAACTGTAGCGCAGTCACGCTTCCGTCGTGCACAGCTGCGTGTTATGCCAGGGCTCCGCCCGAGGGTGCGCCCTCGTTTGCCAAGCTCAAATGCCTGCGCTGGCCTGGAGGACACGCGGGGGCTCCAGCCTGCGTTCACTCCACACCGGCTCGTGACTGAGCCGGGTGCGCGGACACCTCCCTGAGCAGGGGGCTCCGCCAGGGACGGGTGTCCTGGTGGCGAGGCCGAGGGCCGGCCGGCAGCCCAGCCGGGGCGTGGGCTTCAGGGGCTTTCAGATGCGTCCCGGGTTTTCGTTTTCTTGGTTTTGTTTCTACATCCCCCACCTCCCACCCAGGCATAATGAAGCATGTCTTATCAATGTTATGCAATGGACTCATACGATTCACTTAGTGTCAGCCACACCATTTTTTTTAATGCAGTATATTCACCTGTAAATAGTTTGTGTAAAATTTGACAGAAAAGTATATTTACTACACTGTAAATACATGTGATGATATATTGTATTATTTTGCTTTTTTTGTAAAGCAGTTAGTTGCTGTACATGGATAACAAACAAAAATTTGATGATTCTTGTGTTAGTATTGTTACCTTCTTCCTGCGACTGCGTTACATCCTTTAAAGCAAACGCTGTGTATCGTGAACTCCCGTCGTGTGTGGCGACGTCGCGTCCCCCGTCCGGGCCCTGCGCGGCCGGGTCTGCAGCCTCGGCCCGGGGCGCAGCCGGGC